ATATATATATATATATATATATATATATATATATATATATATATATAGAGAGAGAGAGAGAGAGAGAGAGAGAGAGAGAGAGAGAGAAAGAATCTAGGTGAGGGAGCAGCTGGAGAGATGGCTCAGCAGTTAAGAGCACTGGCTGCTCTTCCAGAGGACGGGAGTTCAATTTTCAGCACCCACATGGCAGCTCACAATTGTCTGTAAGTCTGCTCTGAGGGGATGTTGTGTCCCCTTCTGACTGATACCAGGCTAACAGGTGGTGTACATGCCTACATGCATGCAAGATACTCAAATATATAACATAATAAAATTAATAAACACAATAAAAATATATAGCAAAATCATGCTTAAAAAATCTAGGTGAAGAAGCATAGGAGGAGAAGAGGGAGGAAGGGAGGGGTTGGGAGGGGGCATGGGAAGGGGCCACAGCCAGGATACAAAGTGAATGAATTGTAATAGATAATAAATTAGTAAAGTTAAAAATGTAGGTGCTTTCTATACAATTGTCCAAAAGATGAGATGTGTACAACTAGACAGTGGCTCACCTAATGTTATGACACAGTTAAAACACACCTGTGGTATATAGCCTGATCCCCAAATAGCTGATAGGAATTGTCAGCTACCTACTTTGCTCACCTCTCCCTACCATGCCTGTGCTTTCCATTAACTCTACTGTCTCTGGTCTTTCCCAACAGGTCCCCACACATATCTGATGGTGGAAGGTGTGAGCCTTGGGGCCTTCAGATCCTCTCCAACCCACTTCCCAATAATTTCGCCAGGGGCTGGCCCTGCCCAAATCCACAGCCTCATTACCAGGAGAAGGTCCTGAAACTGGCTCGGCTGCCCAGTGCGCCCCTGAACGAAGAGCTTCTGAAGGACTACCAAGCCCTGCTTACGGACCGGATTGCTATGCCCCTCTCTTACCTATTCATGGCACGACCTTCTAAAACATCAGAGGGATCAGAGAAAACGAATCCTGGATGTGTCTAAAAGAGCCTCAAGTTGGGAGGAGACCAGAACGGGCCTCAGGATTCGCAGCCTTCTTCATCAAGAAGTCCTCAGGAGACCAAGGACCCCGGCTTCCACAGAATAACCTTTTGAGCCAGCCTCCAGCCTCATGTCATCTCTGTATTAGGCTCCTGGAGACATTACTGAAGCTCTGAATTGTTCTGTGTTTTCCTTGGAAGACTCATCATAGCATGAGAGAATTGGAGCAGGGAAAGGAGGTAGGGCAGCTAGAATATCTGTAGGCTCCAGCTCTTAAGGATAGGATAAGGAGTGGTGAGGGATGTCAGGAGGTTAGGGTAAGAAATGTGGGTAAGGAATTGCAGGCTGGGAATATAGCTCAGTGGTAGAGCACTTGCCTAGCATGAGTAAAGTCCTAAGTTCAATTCCCATCACATAGAAAAAAAATTCTCTACCCTCAGAACACATTCACAGTGACAGTGAGATTGGTTAGGGGGCAGAAAAACTCTTAGGCAGAAACACACACACACACACACACACACACACACACACACACACACACCTAACACCACCTCATTGACATCTCCTCCACGTCATTTGATATCTGGACAAAGACCAAAGACCAGACACAACCGGGTACTTGTACTACTGTTTGTAAGTCCCCCTGCAGAATTTGATGGCAGTGCTGGAGAGAGGAGCCTCAGGCCTGAGGAAGGCACCCATTCCTCAGCAGGGCAAGGCCAGAACAAGGTAGAGATTCCAGGTGAAAGGTAGGAGGCATGTAGATTTCTGTGCTCACAGAGAAGCACTAGGGGAAGCAGAAATGTTAAACACACAGATGTCTCCTCAAAGGGAGAGATGTGCAACCTGTTTTCTGCCCAGAAGTCTGGTCACCAGCCCAGTGACCTCTGCCTGAGACCAGATCCTCCCTCAGACCCTTATCATGAGCTTGTTTTTCTCAGTTATTCTATAGGATCCATCTTTATGGAAGATGTCACTTGTACTTTACAAAGTTTTGAAGTGGTTCTGTCTTAAGGTTTGTTGTGCATGCAAGATTGAGTTAATTATTCCAAACAATCTTTATCTAACTGTGCTGTTGCTTACATAAGCCCAAAATAAACTCCTCAGGGTCCGACTCCCGGAGTTTGAACCAACACTGGCTACTGTGTCGTGTTGAACCAGACTACCTTCTTGCTTCTCACAAGTCGTTACTCTGCTAGCTGTAGTGGTCACAGAGTCCCACAGAAAGGCAGCAGTCATCTGAGGGTGACCCAAGGGCCTTGGACCTGAGCCGCTGTTGACTGCAAAGGCCTCAGTATTGACTCAGGGGATCAGAGACAAGGCTTTGAAGTGGAGGCAACAGTCAGGAGTCTCCTGTGACTGAGGTGCAGGTGGCAGGAGTCCCACAAGGCCTGGTGAGGAGAGCCACGGCGAGTGGCTGGGTGCAGGGAGAGAAATCAAATGTTGACGGTCCCCCTCTCACCTCCTCCCTTAATATACTCTCAAGTGTGTGGCCTGCTCTAGCTCTCTAGTTGGCTCTCTAGCTCTCTCTTCTGCTTTTCTTTGCCCACTAATCTGTCTCCACTTCTCTTTCGTTCAAACCATTTTACTTTCACTTATGTGTTTGTGTGTGGGTTTGTGCATGTGCATTTAGATGCCCACAGAGCCCAGAACAGGGTATCTGATCCTCTGGAGCTGGAGTTACAGGCAGTTGTGAACTGAGAACCGAAACTCTGCAAGTACTGCAAGCACCCTTAACTGCTGAGCCATCTCCCTACGTCCCTCTGCCTCCACCTTTTTGGAAAGCCCCACAGACACTTAGAACTTGAGACACCACAGAGTTTAACTCAGCCACTCAGCACCTGTGAGTCCTGTGTGAAAGTAATTCGCCCCTATGGATTTGGGGTTGGTTTTCTGCACAGTGGAAACCACTAGGCTGTAAATGACCAGGATTAAAAATAATTATAAGTGACATCCATCCTTGCCTGGCACTGGCATAGTGTAGGCCACTATGAATTTGTCCACCACTGTCCATAGATTAACTATTATTCACTCGTAACAAGGAGCCATGTTGATAAAACACTACAATGAGGACACAACTTAAAAAACACCTTGCCATGCGAAAGAAGCCTGGCACAAAAACCTACATAATGGATGAGGTCCTGGGATAGGCAAATTCACAGAAGTAGAAGCATCAGGGGCCTGTGAGAGGGGGCAGGAGTCATTGTTAATGTGCACAGAGTTCCTGTTGGGATGATGATGAAGAAATTCTGGAATTGGATAGTGGTGATGGCACTGTAACATGGTGAGGGTCGTTAATATTCCTGACTCACACACTTACAACTGGTGAAAACTGTATATATATATATATTTGTGTGTGTGTGTTTTACCACAAAAAAAATTTTTTTTAAAGCTCAAGGACAATTTGTTAGATTAAGCAGGCAAGCTGTAAATTTCAAAGCTGCTGGGAGGGAGGAGAAGACACCCAAGACACACATGGAACTCAGCAGATGGCTTTAGAAATGAGTAAGGAATCCAGGGACCCCTTGGCTCCCAAAAGTAAGGGAGATTTACTTGGGAAGGTTAAAAGCATGATTAAGAGCCAGGGCTGGTCATGCACACCTTTAATCCCAGCACCCTGGAGGCAGGAGCAGGTGGATCTCCGTGAGTCTGAGCCAGCCTGGGTTAGCCTCAGAAAGGCCTGCAGATCCAGTGAAGCCCACAGTCATCCAGCTCACCACAACATTATTTTTGCAAAAGAGATTAAAAAAAAAATTCCACTAAATAAAGACAGCCAAATGCAAAAGGTCATATGTGTCGTGCTAGGAGTTAGAAGCTTGGTCCCTAGTGTGGCATGGGATGAGGTGGGAGGGCCTAGTGGGGGTTAGCTTGTGGGCCCAGCCCCTGCCCACACAATGAGTCTCTAGAAAGAAAGCTGTTGTAAAGGAGCAAGACCAGCCCACACCGCCCTGGCTTTGCATGGCCTGTGTTTTCCTCTCATGCACATGCCCTCAACAGAGTGTGTCAGCCATGTGACAGACAAGGGCCCTCACCAGAGGGAAGTAGCTTTCAGCTCCATGTTTTGACTTTTAAACCCTGTGTGGGATGGATTCGTGTGTGTGTGGTGTATGGTGTGTATGTGTGCTCAGAAGATGACTTATGAAGTCTGTTCTCTTCTTCCATCCAGGGGGCCCTGGAGATGGAGCTCAGGTCATTAGACTTGGCAGCAAGTGACTTTCTCTAAGCCCTCCTGCTAGCTCAGTACCATGTTCTTGAATATCCACAGCTATGGCATAATATCCCACCTCTCCTGCTTCTTTCTTCCCCTCTTTCCCACTCTCTTCTTTCTCAACAGCAACTCCCTACATAGTTCAGGCTGGCCTCAAGCTGGTGCTCCTCCATTCTCAGGCTCCCATGTCCTGGGATTATAAGCATTCTGCTGGGGCTTTTGAGAACAATTTGCTCTCTGTCCTTGGAGTTATAAAAGAACAGAAAGCACTTTGGGGATAACTGGGTCTTCCTCAAGGGCCTATTGTCTCATACTTGGAGAGGGGATCAGAGAGGAAAAAGAAATAGAAGGGCGGAGCCCATCTCTCTGCACATACCTGGCATGCCACACCCTGAAGCAGCCTGTGCCCTGCTGAATGCCCACAGCTCCCCAAGTACACAGGGAGCCTTCAGAGCCAGTGCTCCCTGCTCAGCCTCTAGTTTGGGTTCCATGAACCAGGTTGCATGAAAGCTTGAATTTCTGAGGTGCTGCAGGCCTGAGGGAAGACCAGATCTGGTGGAAACTGGAAATGATGGGACTGAAGAGCTCCTGGGGACTTGTGGAGAGGGTGGAAGGAACAGACTGTAATTCCAGCACTCAGGAGGCAGAAGCAAATGTGAGTTCCAGGCTAGAGTGGGTGACACAGTGAACTCCAGGCCAGCCACTGAAACACAGCAGACTCTTAAAAAGCACGCTCTCTAGCACACACACACACCCATAAAAACAAAAACAATAAAAAGTCCCGAGGGTCTTGGGTCTTAAGCTATATGGGGTGTCCAAATTCCCTAGATAACTCATTAAAACACAAACTTCTGGATTCTACCCCAGATGTTCTGAATGCTTAGATCTGGCAAGAAATGAGAGTCGTGCTTCTGGAAAGTTCCCTGGGTGCAGCTGCTGTGCTGGTCTTGGACAACCTTACAGGAGCGGCTCAGAGGTTACTGATCTACTTTGCTATTCAGGAAAGAGGGTGCCCCTCATGTATCAGTCCTGAGCCTACACACCTTTGGCAGGCCCAGGGACAGAACTTGACTGAGGCCTACATGCTTGTTGATGCTGCTGCATACTTCAGAATCTTAACTTAGCTGTGTGACTTCCCTTAGGTCATCAGCAAGCTGTCAGTCACTGAACAATGAAGCTGGATATCTTGCCTTGGTTGCTACATAACAGCCAGGGACTTCTTTGTTTGCAACAGGAAAGAAAAGTCATGTCCTTGGATGCTGAGGCAGGCCCAAAACTTACTATGGAAGGAGGAAAGAAGTAGATAAGTAGAAGAGGTTGGAAGGGGGTGGAAGAGACCACTGAGGAAGGAGGAAAGCAAGGCAGGAATCTTTGCTAAAACCTGGAGGCCCAGAATATTTGGAAGGAACTATGTAGTTCTGACACATTTCCAGAGATTTCAAGAGACTGGAAAATTATTCTAAGAGTGCATTAGGGAGCCTATAATCCCACCTGCTCAGCAGGCTGAGCGGGAGAACTGCCATGAATTTGAACTCAGCCTGGGCTACCTTATGAGTTTAAGGCTAACTTGTGATACAGAGCATGACCTTTTCTTGAAGAACTCAAACAAAGAAGCAAAAACTAGACAAACAGAAAGAAAAAAGTTGGGAAACTCTATTAGTCAGTTTTTCACTACTACAATGAAGTACCTGAGGCAGAAAAGTTCATAAAGAGAAGAGGTTTATTTACTTTGCCTTTTTTTGAAGGCTGAAAATCCAAACAGTCCTTAAAGGGCCCCACCTCTTCCCTTGGTTAC